AACAGAAAGGCAAGTACTTCCCAAGTTCTGTGAGTCATTCTACTGAATTATCAAGCTAGAGGAGGGTGTTGTGGGAACCCTCAGTTTATAGCCGGCTGGTCAGAAGTACTGCTGCTGCTGCTAAGTCACTTCAGTCGTGTCTGACTCTCTGCAACCCCATAGACGTCAGCCCACCAGGCTCCTCCGTCCCTCGGATTCTCCAGGCAAGAACACTGGAGTGGGTTGCCATTTCCTTCTCCAATGCGTGAAAGTGAAAAGTGAAAGTGAAGTCGCTCAGTCGTGTCCAACTCTTAGCGACCCCATGGACTGCAGCCTACCAGGCTCCTCCATCCATGGGATTTTCCAGGCAAGAGTATTGGAGTGGGGTGCCATTGCCTTCTCCAGGTCAGAAGTACAGTAGCCTGGGAATTGGGATTAATGCCTAAAGTGGGGGCAGTCTTGTGGGACTACTGCTTCAACTCTTGGGATATAATGCTAACTTTGGGTAGGTAGTGTCAGAATTTGAAGTGAGTTTTTGGACACCCTATTGGAAATGATGTTGGAAAAGACAGCGTGCTTTTAAATGTAGGAAAAAGAAACCTTTGGCCTTTGTCTGTCACATTGTGTGTGTGTGTGTGTGTAGTGCATGAAATGATTGAGGGCCAAGTCCCACAAGTTGTGTCTGACTCTTTTGCAACCCCCGGGACTGTAACCCGCCTGGCTCCTGTGTCCATGGGATTTCCCAGGCAAGAATACTGGAATGGGTTGCCATTTCCTTCTCCAGGGGTTCTTCCCAACCCAGGGATTGAATCTGCGTCTCCTGCATTGCAGGTGGATTCTTTACCACTAAGCCACTGGCCAGTACTAGGGACATATAGAAATGAACATAGTTTCCGAAGGGCTGCAGTTCTGCCTGGGCTTACCTGTTTGGTAAAGTGTAGAAGGTGAGGGTAATGGATTCTGTCCACACTCTGGGGACAGTACAAAGCAGTGGGGTGTCCTGAGTTGGCCCTGTCTAAGCCAGAGGTCAATGTTTGACTCTTGATCTCACTTTATTTTTTTGGCTTAAACCACAGAAATGTATTTTCTAACAGTTCTGGAGGGTAGGAAGCTAAGAGCAACGTGTCAGCATATTTAGTTTCTCATAAGGCTTTTCTCCTTGGTTTGCAGAAGACCACCTTCTCACCATGCTGTCTCATGGCCCTTCCTCCACGAGTGTGCATCCTTGGTGTGTCTCTGTGTCCAGAGCTCCTCTTATTATAAAGACACCAGTCAGATTGGCTTAGGGCCCAACCTAATTGTTTGATTTTAAGTTAATCACCCCTTTAAAGACTCTACCTCCAATACTGTCACATTTTGAGGCATTAGGGGTTAGGGCTTCAATATGTAAAATTTGGAGAGACAAAATTCAGCTTGTAAAAACCAGATTGTAAATATTTTAGGCTTGTAGGCCATAAAGTCTCTGTTGGAACTCACAACTCTGCCATTGATCTGATTTTTCAGCTGGGGCTGAAAAGAAGGGATGGCTTGGAAAGGAGGACGTAGGGGAAATTCCAATCAGAGGAGACTGTGTCAGTGAAAGTAAGGAGATGTGAGGGCCCCATGGCAGTATAGGAGGTGCAGTAGATGAGTTTTAGTATAGTGAAACTACTGCACTTCAGTGCCAAGAGCTAAACCTTGTAATATTGGAACAATAAATGATTCAACAGAATGAATAGTCCAGAAAGAAAGAAACAAATATGTGATAAGGTAGGTTTCACAAATCAGAAGGGTGTTAAGTAATAATACTGAAGCAAGTGATAAATTATTTAGAAAGAGAATAGATTCTTGCTCGTGATGATTTTTAGTCAGCATTTAGGTGCTTGAAACTTATAAATTAGAGGATTAAGGTTTCCTTCTGTGAATTAAAACTGAAGATCAACACTAATGGTCAAGGTGCTATATATAACAGGTTACCTTGAAGAACATAATATCTTACAATATCACCTCACTGAACATATAGACACCATTAGAATGGTTGACTTTGTGGTCCCTACACTCTCAAGAGCCTCAACTTTGGTTTAATGTTCTGCTCTTGTTCTCTTAATAAAATTTCTTAATTTATGAAAATGGGCCTGTATTTTCACTGTGCACTGAGCCCTGCGAGTTATATATCAGTCCTGCCTGTGAGGTTGGTCAGACAGGGAAAAAAAAAAATGACAGAGCCAAGCTTTAGAGGTAGATACTCTCCTGCTTCTAGGAAAGTTGCGGCAACACAATTCTAGAGTCTGGGCCACGTTCCCAGGACTGTGTGTGTTGCATGTGTGTGCCTTGGGCTGTCCCAGACTGATGCATTAAGTAGTTTATTTGACAGACTCTCTCCTCCTCCCATCTCCTTCTCAAAAAGGAAGCTTTTAATTGTGATTTGGCTTCTGTGGTCTTCCTGCAAGGAGAGAGCTGGCTGGTTATGGTGACTCTGTAATAATTCCGGAAGTTAGTTACTAAGCTGGCATCCTGGTGATATTCATCAGTGAGGTTCTTTAATGGGAGCCTGTCCCTGGGAGAAGGCCCCCTTCTGTTATATTTCTGAGGCAGAAGGCTGAGGTCCAGGCATTGTGTTGGTGAATTCACCAAAGCCAGCAAAGGCAGAACAGTGGTTAAGAACAAGACCTTTCCATAAAAAGGAATGAAGTTCCAGGACCTGCTACAATAAATTAATAATGTAATATACCAAAAACATTGAGTGTACACTTTACATGGGTGAATTGTATGGCATGTGAATTATATCTCAATAAAGCTGCTTTTTAAAACATTAAAAAAGAAGAAGAAGAACAGGGTGTTTGGAGTGAGCCAGACAGCCCTGGGATCAAGTCCTGTGGTTGGTACCACATTGTGTGATCTTGGCCAAGATATGTAACTATGCCCTGTTCTTTCATCTCCCAAGTGGTGATACGACACCTCGGGTTGTTGTGAGACTGAAGGAGAAAATATACACCTGGTCAAGGCTTCTCAACCTCAGCACTGTTGACATTTTGGATTAGATCACTCTTTGTTGGAAGGAGGGAGGAGAGAGAGCTGTCCTGTGCATGATGGGGTGTCTCCTAGCTTCCCACAGCAGCTTCCTCTTGACCCCTTACAGATGTAACAGCCAAAGTATCTCCAGATGTTACTTAAATGTCATACTGAGGGACAGAATAGGCCCTGGTTAAGAATCACTCACTGGCTAAGGTGTGTAGAACAATGCCTGTAAAAAGAAAGCTACTGGCAGATTTCATAATAATATTTACAATCCTTGGACTAAAGATGACAGTACTTCTGAGGCCCCTGGAAAGACATTTGTCCGCCTTTCACCAGTCCTCTGCTCTTTAAATTTCTATGTCCATGCCAGAATCAAATCCACATGGATTAAAGTGTATGTGCTAAGTCGCTTCAGTTGTGTCTGGCTCCTTGTGACCCTATGGACTGTAGCCCCCCAGGCTCCTCTGTCCATGGGATTCTCCAGGCAAGAATCCTGGAGTGAGTTCCCATGCCCTCCTCCAGGGGATCTTCCCGACTCAGGGATTAAACACGTGACTCAGCATTGACAGGCGGGTTTTTTACCAGTAGCACCACCTACCTGGATTAAAGGATAAATGTAAAAAGGTCTCCCTTTACAAACTGAAAGAAGAGAAGTTACAGATCTGTAAATTTGCAAATAAAAAAGATTTGCAAATACCAAACTCAGAAGCAGTGGTACTTCCGTGATGAGTTTAAATCATATTGGGGAATTTTTTTCTCTGTCATTACACTAAAAACAAAAAACATGAGTAATTGGTTAAAAAAAAAAAGACCTAGTAATTATAGTTAAAAAGCAAACTGGAGGGGATTTCCTGCCGTCCAGTAGTTAGGACACCATGCTTTCACTGCCTTGGTCTGACTTTAATCCATAGTCTGGGAACTAAGATCCTGCAAGCACATAGCATGGCCAAAGAAAAAAAGCAAATTGGATAAAATGATTATAAGAGATATGTCAAACTTGTATTGAGAAACCGGTGTAAATCGAAAATACAGAAGTAAATGTCTCAGGCATAGGGACAAAAGAGGATATACAGTCGGCTTACAAACATTTGAAAATTGTTCAAATTCAATAATACTTAAAAATTTAAATCTTTTTTTCATTTAAATTGGCAATAATATCTAATTCTGTGGTACCATTTAGGGCAGTCTCCTCACACATTCCTTATAGAACACTGGATGGGTATAATCCCCCTGAGAAGAAATGTCATGATAAATATGCCTTAAAAGTTATCATACCTTTTAGCCCCCAAAATAACATTTGGGAATAATTCTACAACATAATCTGAAATATAGACAAGTATTTATGCATGAGGATATTTACTACAAGGTTGTTTCAATAGAAGCCAGTTTTGTGTCAAGCGTTAGGGGAATAGTAAATTGGAGCTTATGATAAATAATTGGCAGTCTTTAAAAAATATTTATGAAATGTTTCCAATCGCATGCAGAATTCTTACAGTGTTAAATGAAAAAGCAAGTTTTAAAATTTTGAATGCAGTATGAACTCAGCTCAGAATAAAGACTGGAAAGGAATATGCAAAATATTAACAGTATTTATTCCTGGAAGATTGAATTATGGATAATTTATGCAAGTCACTCATAATTGCATGATTAAATTGACCATTTCAAAGCAGACTTAGAGTTTGTGTGTGCCTGTTCTTTCCAGTAGTTTTTTATCTTAACCATTTCTCTAGCTTGGAAATGAAGGTGAAAGAGGTTAGCTATGTATCTCTGAGTAAGAGAAAGAAAAGAAGGTATCAGTGCCTAAAAGGGCAGCTTTATGGTAAATTCCGTATAAACTGCAATAGCAAACTGGCTTTGCAGGGTAAACTACTTTCCCTGGATGAAGTGAATTCATGCTTTTTTACACCACAGCATTCTTTTTGTTCATTAATTTTTTAAGATATATTTATTTTAAAAAAGATATATTTATTGTAGCATGTTTCTTGGTGAAAGAATCTTTAAAATTTCCATGTTTATCTTGACAGTATGTGCAGAAGCTTATAATCCTGATGAAGAGGAAGATGATGCTGAATCCAGGGTATGTAACTTACTGAATGCATTAATTTTACATTATACTCTGGCCTTGGATAAGGAAAATAATAATAGAAAAGATGTTAACAGGCTTATAGATTAACAGAAAGCATAATGGAATTATTTTGACTGTTTCTTTTCATAGTCTTCTCTCTGATAGCTTACTGCTTCATGTTCTGTGTGGTTACTTTGATCCAAAGCATCTCTCTCTTTGGAGAGATGGACATAATAACTCACTGAAGTTGTGCTTTTATTTCTCTTGCAAAAATATAGCCTGTGATGAAAAATGTTTTTAGCTATCTTTCCCAAAGTGATAATGTTATTTTTCTTAGACAAGTAAGTATTTCTAGCAAAGAAAAATACTGGGAAAAGACTCCTGCTCCTACTAATTTATCACAACAGATGCTTACTCTGAAACAACAACAGACACAATAAAATTACATCTAAAGTGTCAGTACAGCAGTTATTATTTTTTAAAGTCTGTGTATCTGATTGTTTGCTCAGAAACTGATTTGGAGGGCCTAATGTTTTTGCAAGAATTTGTCTGGTTTGAAACACTTTTTAAGCTATGTCCTTTCACTCCGTTCTCCTATTACTTATTTAGTAGAAAGTAAACTAAATAGGCGGTTACTGAGCCTGGGAATGGAAAGCAGTCATTTATTTATTTATTTTTGAGTACATTGCAAAAGTTTCTTTTTTTTCATTTGGTGTTAAACAATGAAAAGAAAATCTATTTCTATAGCTCTGAAAAATACTTCAATAAGGTTGAGTTTTATAGAAAAGCAGAATACTGGGTCCATAAGTCATTACATCATTAAGCTCCCTGAAATGTAAATAAAATTCAGTGATAGAAAGATCAGGAACCTTAAATGACACAGAAGATTTATAAGGAAATCCCATTTCACAATTGTCCATGATGGGGGCAGTACCAGACTTGCAGTATTCACTTCTGAGAACCAAAACTTACATATTTTTATGACGTCCATAAATTCCATTCTGAAAATTATCTTGCCTTAGGGTCGAGGTATCATCACTAATGTTTAATGTTCTGTAACCACTGTAATGTGGTCCAAACAACCCTCCCCTATCCTACACTTTATTTATGTATTTCAACAAAAAAATAATAGGCTACTTTGAAGACAGCATTTTGTGTGTGTGTGTGTTTGTATGTACACGTGCTCAGTCATATCCGACTCTTTGCAACGCCATGGACTCTAGCCCTCCAGACTCCTCTTTCCGTGCAATTTTCCAGGCAAGAATGTTGAAGTGGGTTGCCATTTCCTACTCCCATCATTCTTTGTATTTGTGTATAAATGTATATAATAAAGCTTAGTAATTGAGATGTTTGATGAGCTGGTTTGACTTAGTAAAAATTTAGACTAAAAAGAACATTTAAAAATATAGTTTGAAAGCAATATATGGTATCTCATGGACTCGACAACTGTTAGCTACCATTTGGTCCATGCCATAGTAAAGTGGTTTGATTGGATCACTCCAGCTAATTGCTGACAGTCTTGTTGCGGGGGGCTATACCAGGTAAGAGTCATTTGGCTGGGGGAAAGAAACCCCTAATCACATTGAGATTAAAAAACAAAGACATTGGGGAATTATTGGACATGTGCTTGGAGATCTTACAGAATTCCTGAAAGAGTTAAAGAAAACCCCGGGCTGTGGCTGGCAGGCAGGAGTCAGCCCCCCTGGGGTCCTTTCACAGCACTGGTGTACATTCAGAGTATCAGTTGAAAGGGACTCAGCTACCACTAGCTTTTATGTCTGTCTGAGTTCACAATCCGAGTTTCTTTGTGGGGAGTTTTCACAGACTTGACCTTGGGGTTGGGGGCCAGGCCAAGGAGTACAGACTTAACTGTGCGGTCTCACTTATAAATGAGGGTATCCTGCAATCCCACTCCTGGGCATATATCCAGAGAAAACTTTAATTCAAAAAGATGCATGTACCCTGGTGTTCATAGCAGCACCATTTATATAATAGCCAAGACTTGGAAACAACCTAAATGTCCATCAACAGATGAATGGAGAAAGATGTGGTAAATATATACAGTAGAATACTACTCAGCCATAAAAAGAATGGAGTAATGCCATCTGTAGCAACATAGATAAACCTAGAAATTGTTATACTGAGTGAAGTAAGACAAAGACAGATATCATATGACATTACTTGTATGTGAAATCTTAAAAAATTGTATAAGCCAATTTATTTACAAAACAGAAATAGACTCATAGGCATAGAAAACAAATTTATGGCTACTGTAGTAGATAGTGGGAGTTGGGGGAGAGAGAAATTAGGTGTTTGGGATTAACATACACACACTACTATATATATATGTATTTATAAAATAGGTAAAGAACAATGACCAACATAGCACAGTGAACTATATTCAATATTTGTAATAACCTATAATGGGAAAAAATCTGAAAAACATATATATATATAACAATTGCTTTATATCTGAAACTAACACAACTTTTTAAAAATAATTTTTTATAATTTTTTATAATAAAATTTTTATAATTTTTTGAAAGGTATATAAATAGATAGATAAGGGCAGTTCCTGGTGAAGGAGGCATCTTTGTGGGTTGCACATTCAACCCAAGTTGTGCCTGTGACACCCTTCGACGTTACTTTAGTAGATTTTTGGTAATTAATTAATTAATGATTAATCATTATAATAAAGTGTCTTGGGATCTTCATTAAGTTGACTCTTCTCTAAACATGTTGCTAAAAACTGTACAATTTTTTGTCTTACCAATAGACACTATAAGGCAGTTTGTACCATAGCCTTTAGAAATGATTGTTACAGATTTCAAAATTAATTGGCTTTAGAAAATGTCCATAAGGAAAACATACAGTGCATTTTGATAAATTCACTTTTCATTTGGACATTTTGTCTTATTTCAAAGACTCTGTTTATTTTATAGGACTTCCCTGGTGGGTCAATGGTGAAAAAAAAAAAAAATCTGCCTGCCAAGCAGGAGACATAAGTTTGATCCCTGTGTCTGAGAGATCCCCTGAAGGAAGGAAATGGCAACCCACTCCAGTATTCTTACCTAGAGAATCCCATGGACAGAGGAACCTGGCGGGCTACAGTCTGTAGGGTCATGAAGAGTCAGATACAGCTTAGTGACTAAGCAACAACAACAACCTGTAATCTCAGAGTTGTGTAAATAGATATTTATTTTTTTTATAAAATAATATGTATCCAAAGAAAATTTAAGTACTTAAGATTGACTTTGGAAAATAACAAATTAGATTTTACTTGGAATACCTTTAATAAATGAAAATGTGAGGGTTATGTACATCTACCATGTAGAAACAGGCAGAGAAGAGCTAGTAAATTTAAGAGTGGAGTACTTCTTCATTTTGTACTCCATGAAATGTTTTGGGAGTGCTTTCTGCATATCTGGTCGAATGTTAAGTATACAGTGGTGAATGCGGTGGACAATCCCTTGCCATCTTGGAGCTCAGAGTCTAATAACAGAAGCTAACAGAAAGCTAGCACATTAGCAGTCACAAAATATGAACTGTTGAAAGGGCAGTGTGATAGGGTATAGGAATTAAAACCAAAGCCCCCAGATCAACTAGGTCCCTAATGAAACAGAATAGTGGGAGAAGGGCTCCTTGAAGTGAGACCACAGGATGAACGCGGAGAGAATCTTGCCAAAAGTCTGGGAGTGCATTCATTTTGGGTTAAGCCAAGCCCATCAGAGTGGGAAGAGTTGGAGGCTCTGAGTGAGGGCTGGTGTGGCTGGAGCTGAGTGGCTGAGGCGAAGGCCGAGGAGGAGGTGCGAATGTGACGGCCTCTGCCGAAGGTTTACTCTGGAGAATGGGGTGTTCTGATTTAAACTTCTAAAAGATTACTTTCAGCTCTGTGTGGAGAACATATTGGACAGATATGAAAACATCTTGTACAGATTTCCCTTGCTTAACAAAATAGATGCACAGTGTTTTCTTTAAAGAAAACGTGTCAGTCAGTCTTATTGTTTCTTCTATTTTTTTTTAATTGAAAGGCAACAGAGGTTTATAGCAGTAGTTGACAAACTTTTCCTGTAAAGTTTTTTTTCCTGGGAATTCTATTTTCAAATAATAAATACTTAATGCTTTGGGGGCTATTCCATTTCTGTCACAGCTCTTCAGCTCTGCTGTTACAGCTTAGAAGCAGCCGTAGACAATACATAAATGAACACATGTGGCTGTGACCCGTGAAACTTTACTTGTGGACGTTTGAATTTCTTATAATTTTCATATGTTAGGAAACAATCTTTTGATTATCCTCCCACAGTCATTAAAAAAAAATCATTCTCAGTGTAGGGATCATACAGAAAGAAATTTGACCTTCAGGCAATGGTGTGCTGACCTCGGCTGATAGTAAGAACTCTGTGGCTAGCCTGCCTGGGGTGAATCCCAGCACTACAACGTCTGAACTGTGTCACATTGAAGAAGTTACCTGGGCAAGTTAATTTTCTTACATTTCTCCTTTTGAGAGGTCATGCAGTGTTTGTCTTTCTCTGACTTATTTCACTGAGTAGTCACCTGCTTCCTGGGGCCTGTTACTGTGATGTATGTGTGTGCGCGCTCAGTTGTATCCAATGGAATGTGACCCTGTGGACTATAGCCTGCCAGGCTCCTCTGTCCATGGAATTTTCCAGGCAAGAATACTGGAGCGGGTTGCCATTTCCTACCCCAGGGAATCTTCCCAACCCAGGTATTAAACCCATGTCTCTTGGGTCTCCTGCATTGGCAGGCAGATTCTTTACCACTGTGCCATGTACACTGCCTATTACTAGAATAAAACGAATTAATGTTTGTGAAGCCCTTAAAACAGTGCCTGGCACATGGTAAATGCCACATCAATATTTGTTTGAACAAAAAGATTTGTATCTTGAAATCAGAAATACATAATGAAAAACAAAATTGCCCCTAGTAGAAATCACGCTTGGGCACATTGCAGAAGACCTTAATTGTCCAGATGCAGATCTCAGACGTCGGATCGCACCAAACCCAACAGAAGGAAATGAGTCTGTAGGAGGAGGAGAGCATCTGAACAGTTGGTGCATGGCAGAGAGGGCAGAGCTTCAAAGATTCACCTGATTTCTGACTGTTTGCTTTTCAGGATGCAGAGCAGGAGTTTTAATGGCAGAGGTTGAGGGTGAGGGGCGACCATGATAGATAAAAGACCCTGACGAGTGATGGCAGGCAGAAGGAAGAGAGGGGAAAAAAGAAAGGAGGGAGGAGAGCAGTACGCAGTAGCAGTGGTGGCAGGATGGAGAGACAAAATTTGGAACTGTGAACTCTTAAGAGAAGTAGCAGGAGAGAGAGAGAAGAAGAAGATGGGGTTTTGTGTGAGGTGTTCATACAAAGTGAATGGGTTGGGGGAGAAAGACTTAAATTGATGACAAAAGTAAATCAGGTGCAATATGGTGTTGAAAATGATTAAAGAAGACAGTTTAGGTGATATAAATTTTATTTAATGCTGCATGAAGCAGGCAGTCTCCATTCCCAAGCGTCCAGAGAACTGCAAAATGGGGTGGAGGTCAGGAAGCTTTTAGAGGATAAAGAATAAGGAACAAGGAAGAAAAAAACAGAAAGTGAATGAGGAACAAGGAAGTGAGCATAGAGCCCGGATTTGGCTTGGCCTTTGGGGATCGGCTGACTGGATATACTGTATTGCTGGCAACGTGGAGCGCTCTAGAGACATGGGAGTGATCTAGGCTTTGCTTTGCTGATGTGGCACCCTGGGCAGGGGTGGCTCCATCTTGGGCTCAGGAAATTATTTTCAGCATCTGTGACATGGTATCCCCAACCTTTTCTCTCTGAGGAGAGAGCTTCTCAGTAGGCAAATATTTATGATCACTTTAGCTTGAAGTTCCAGATGGTTTTTGTGAAGTGAGAGATAACTTTTTGTTTTATTCTGTTTGATTGTGTTAAAATCATCCTTATTTGACGTAGGTAGATACGAATTTTGGTTGGCATGATTTAGTTCATATCCAAATTTTTAAAGTTTCTTAAATAGCAGTGAGTTGTTAGGCAGCAGGATCTGCTGCCATAATAATAATCCACATGCCATAATAGAATCTAGTTTGATGTGAATATTGGTTAGATAGGAAACACTAGTTTGCATGTCCCTTACCCTTTTAAAGAAAAATCTGCAACAGCTGCAAACAGCTTCCTTCTCTCACTGGCTAAGGCTAATAGTATGTGAACAGTACACACATAAATAGTACACATATGCTGTACCTTTCCTCAGTTCTTGGGCCTCTGGCTTTTAGCCACCTGAGGTGGGTTTGAAATGCTGGTTTTAATTTCCCATTGTGAGTTCTGATATAGTCATGGACACAAAGCTAAGCCCCAGCTGATCCTGGTTGTTCTGATGGTGGGGCCCCTGCTCATCATCATGTCCTCCGTCACTGTGTGTGTGACATCAGAGTAGGAAAAGGTGATGCATGGGTCTCCAGGAGACCCACTAAGTGTCTTCTGCTTTTAGGACCATGTCTTGCCTCGTTACCCCATTTTATAGTTATATGGTACCCATGTTCACAAAAGAATGGGCCTTTGGGTCCAAGTCAGTTGAGCCTTCTGGTGGTCAGAAGGGACTCTGAAGAGTCGGTCAGCTCACTTACAGAGGGCATCCTCTTGGCCTTCAGCCTCCAGGCTGAAAGTTTGAGCATCTAGTGCAGTGGTCTTCTTTGAGCTCATTCTCAAATGAGCGCACCAGGAGATTTGATTCATTTTCCCTCAGATCCATAGGCTCCTGCTGTGACAGTACATGGTTGCTTGCTCCCTGTGGAAAACCACTCCGTGTGGGCTCGGTTACATGTGTTATGCATAAAAATGTATTTAATATCTAATATACAGGTAAGAATTTACTCACATCTAGAGATTTTATCAAGTTTTGAAGGGGCTACATTCTGAAAGAGCATTAAGTTTAGTGGTAAAAAGTATGAAACAGATTTAAAGAATATTAAAAGAGTATTACATAGCGTAAGGGCTTCCCAGGTGGTGCTTGTGGCAAAGAATCTGCCTGCCAGTGTGGGAGACATGAGATAAGGGTTTGATCCCTGGGTCAGGAAGATCCCCTGGAGGAGGGCACGGCAATCCACTTCACTGTTCTTGCCTGGAGAATCCTGTGAACACAGGAGCCTGGCAGACTATTAGTGGAAAAATTTCCTGGTAGTGTTAAATAGTAGAATAGGGACTAAAAGATTTTGATGGGCTTCCAGGTGAGGTCGCAAAGAGTCAGATACTCCTGAGGGGACTTAGCACACAAACAGAATAAAGACAGTCTGTAGATTTTCAACATAACTGTTGTAACATTTAGTTCTTTTTTATGTTCCCGCTGGACCTTCAGAGTCTTTAGTGATTAGCCAGTCCAGACCTTTACAGAATGAACCTGCTAACCTGGGGGAAACACGTCTTTGAAAAACATTCAAGTGCTGTGTTGATTAAGGTCCACCACCTCCCTGAGACAAATTGTATTACTTTCCCCTATTAGCAGGCTGGTAGTTAATGTCTAGTCACCTAAAGTGAACCTCAGCCGTAACCATTCTTCCTTCTAATGACCTGCTAGGAAATTTTATCTGTTATGAATAAGGGGAATAGTCTAATTGTGGATTTGGTGTTCTTGTAGATTATACATCCCAAAACTGACGATCAAAGAAATCGATTGCAAGAGGCTTGCAAAGATATCCTGCTATTTAAGAACCTGGATCCGGTAAGATAAATCTCAATAATAGAGATGATTTTTTTCAGTGTCCATATGAAGAACTGTGCTGGGTCTTGGATTTCACCCTCTTTACAAGCTGACACCACCCAGGGCAATGTAAAGGCCCCACCATGGATGCCTGCGTGTTCATTGGGTTGTGTCCTGGTTGCTGAGAGGTCCCTGCTGTCAGAGCAAGTGTGAGTGCCTGCTGTGTGTCGGAAGAAGGCATTGGGTCATTCATCAAAGGTTACTGCAGACACAGCCCTGAGAAGTGGCCCGGATGAAGAGAGGCTAAGACTGCATTCTTCGTCCATTCAGTAGGGGTATGCAGGGCCCATGGGGGAGTGCCTCTCTCAGCAGCCAGTATTATATTTTAATGTATGACTTTGATATTATATATATTTTAAAAGTAAATTTCTACTTGATTTAAAAGGTAGAAGTGTTTTTTTTTTCTTCATAAAAGTTTTGAAATCTCTCATCTTTGGTTTGGGATGTATTTCTAGAAACCCCTCTCTCAGAACGAGTGATCATGCTATTCAGACTTTGCCCTGCACCCTGACCTCAATGCCCTGCTTCCTTCATTGCAGATTATGCTTATTCATTGCTATATGGTCATTTGGGAAAGAACCCTTGCTACCATGTCCTCATGTGAAACCTGAGTCAACTTTTATAACTTATTTCAGTTCTTTTTTTGGTCAGACTGAACATCTTAATAGTTTTCAGATTGATGCCTGAGAGAAGAAAACATTAAATCAAACCCCCCTCTTAAAGATGAAGTCTTTTTTAGAAGGCCATTTTTAAAATTTTATTTATTTTTTTCATTTATTTTCATTAGTTGAAGGCTAATTACTTTACAATATTGTAGTGGTTTTTGCCATACATTGACATGAATCAGCCATGGAGTTACATGTGTTCCCCATCCTGATCCTCCCTCCCCATCCCATGAAGGCCATTTTTATAAAGAATACTTTATAATACATTTTATGCTGCATTATACCAAGTCTTCTATGCTGGGTCATATTATACCCTGAAATTACTTTTTAAAGCTCCTGGTTTTTGATACTAGTTATGTTTATGTTATATCCTCCAGGATCACAGATTACATTTTGTAACTTTGGAGACTTTATTTTAGGACCACATAGTACAAGTTTTGTCCACTTTGATCCAGGTCCTCCAGAATTATCACCTAAACTAAAGCTGTAAAGAGTGGGGTTGCTGGTAACTAATAATGGAAGAATAAGAAATGGAATTAAGATAGAAAGTGTAGGAATTTAGTTGATGAGTGGAAAAATTTCCTGGTAGTATTAAATAGTAGAATAAGGGACTAAAAGATTTTGATGGGCTTCCCGATAATCTTAGATTTCTTTTATCTAGAATGGTAATGATTCTATGAAACAAAGGACATGGAAACTATGATCTCTAGTGATCTTTCACCAAAATGAATTCAAATAGTTGTTAGTGAAAAGAGACAACATTGTCTCTGTGTGTGTGTCTAAGATGGTAATTTTGGTATTGGAATTAATCAATTTAGTATTGAATTTTGCTTCAGATAGACACAGAAGACAGCTGTGAAATTAACCCTTAGTTTTATCCTTAGGGGTAGACTTCAGCAAGGAGAATTCTATTTTCAGGCCAGAACTTTGCATGGGAAAATTTCAGGGTTACCAAAAACAGTTTCTTAAACTTTAATATGCCTATACATCATCAGAGGATCTGCAGATTCTGGTGAGTAGATCAGAGGTGGGGCCTGAGTGTGTATTTCTCACAGGCTCCCAGGTGAGAGCAGTGCTCTCCTCTCGCAGCCACACTTTGAATAAGAAGGACTAGAACCCAGTGTGAAGACTTTCTAGGGCAGTATTTTGGTACTACCATATGTTATTTTGTTTGCTTACTTTCCTATTCATTTCAAGCAGTATTTTAATGCTTCAGCAGTGATAACAGGCATCAGTGAAATAGCTTCCAGTTATAGTTTCCTCGGACATTGCCTGTTCTGTTCCATCTTCTAAAGTAAATTGATTTTTCTTACCATTGCAGCTTTAATTCTTTCAAAGCATTATGAAAGTTTGATTGCATTTTAAATAATAATAATAATAAAACTTTTCCTGTGTATTCTAGCAGGGAGCATCTTTACTTAAATACAATGGTTTTATAAACATAGGATTTTTTTTAGACTTTTTAAAGATTTTTCTGCTATGTTGACGGTCTTCAGTATATATGTATATATTTAAAGGTCACAGCTTGTAAGGACAAAAAAGAAAAAGTCAGTTCATGAAATTACCAAGTTCATAAATTACCATTGTTGAATATTTTATCGGGAAGAAGTAAACGTATTTATATGGTTGTTTCCAAAAGATCTTTTTTTGAATTTGATCTCATACCATCTTGATTTATTTCCCTACTACCTGAAATCCTTCTAAGAACAATACCGAATATAAATAAGTAAAACTTAATTTTTCTCAGAAAATAACCACTTGAAATAAGAAATTTATCCCCAAACATAGCAGGTTGAAGAGTTTAAGTTCATTTTTTAAGCAAATTTCTAGTTTTTTATCATATATATATTTTTGCCATAACCCAAATGCATTTAAATTGAATTACATATTCCACTTACATAATCTGCATATCATATAGCAGCTCCTTTCAGGTCAATTCCTTGACCACCCACTGTGTTCCAGGGCCTGTATAAAGCGTAGGATGCCACAAAAATACTTAGACATAGTTCTTATGCTCTTGGAACTTATACTTGGTGAGGGATTCAAATACACATAAAAATCCATTTGGTAAAATGTGATAAATGCCGTAATATGGTCAGGGCTAGGGAAGGATGAGGGCTTCTCAGCCCCACCTGAGGATCCAGGAAGCCAGAGAGACACCTGAACTGAGTGAGCCTCAGAAAATGAGTCAGAAATCGCCAGCTGAAAGCAAAAAATGGAGAGTGTCAACACTGGAGTCTGAAGTGGAAGACACCCTCTGGTGGGGGCTGAGATGTATGTGCTGCGTCAGCAAGACCAGTGCGCATGCCACACAGGAGCCGTGGACACACACTCTATGTAGGCAGTAGCATTTTAAGCAGAGACAGTAACAGTCAGGGGTGTCTGAGGTCACTGGTGACAGTGTAGGGGTGGAATTAAAGGGGAGAGGGACAGGTCAGGAACAAAAGGATGGAGCTCAGTGAGGAAACGGCGATCCATGCGTTGTTAAGGGGAAAAGAAACAGGCTCAACTAAGGAAGGGGAGAAAGTAATGGTTTCATAAAGTACTCAGGACGAACAGAAGTTGGTCCCTGGTGATCAAATGAATTGAGACCTAACAGAAAGAGTCTTGGATGACCCCCAGTGTCTGGTGCCTTTCCCTGAAAAGGAAAAACCTGGAAGGAGGAAGGGGAGGCCATAATTACGAATTAGTGGCTTTGTATCCACTATCTCATTTGACTTTCCTAAAGGCGTTGTTTAGCTTGAAAATCTAGCACCTCCTAGACCTCAGGACATTTTTTCTTGGAGTTCTGTATATTCATACATTGAGCCCAGCATTTATAATTATTAATCTCTTTGAAGATATTCTTTTCATGAATATTTTAATGCTCAACTCAGTATGCCATTTTTCTTCTGAAATACTTCTAATTTGAGGCAAACTGAAATAATTGTCCTATGCTATATGATAGGTTCTTTCATTAATGGAGAGTAAATTGTTATTTTTTAAAGGGAGTCAGGGCCCTTTTACCGAGCTCAGTCTCGAATTTGCATTCTGTAGGCGAATAAGATGTGGTTTTCCTACAGGAGCTGTCAGTCCCCGAGATAAGCCTCTGCATATTAAATATTTCCTACATTCTTTGCACTCTGTGCATAATTATGGGGAAATTACATTTTGATTGACTAGAACAGACACCTGTCACACAGAGAAGTTCTAAAAGAAATAATTGTTCTGTATTTTAGCAGGGATTACTTTTTCATACATCCATGTATGAATTCTTAAGCTTCATAATATTTTAAAATGCAGCTAATTCCAAGATAACGAAAAATTATTATATAACACTATATTTCATCCTTTTTTACATTTAACATCCAGGACTAGAGCTAATCAATGAAGTTGATATTCCCCCTCCACCTGCTCTAAATAAGTTGAAATATAAATAGTAAGCAAAAATAAATTATTTGTAAACCATTTAATCAAACTTTGTAATTTTGATAGGTGACCATATGTTGCCTGGATCAATGAACTCATTCAGTCCCATGGGGCCAATTAGCATCACATCAAGAAAGCACTATTTTACAGACCCATTGGCTTCATCTCCAGCCCTGGCTGTTCTTTAACAAGTAGGTACCAGAGCTCACACAGGGACCCAGGAAGGGGATGAAAGCCACTGCCTGCAAACTGACCACCATCTTTCTTCCAAAAGTTTTTCTTAACTCACTCAAAGATACAATATTACATTCTGGGTTCAAATGGAGAGTTGGGCAATTTAATTAATTAAATTTAAATAAGTATGCATATATGGGCTTCCCTGGTGGCTCATTAGTGAAGAATCTGCCTGACAATGCAGGAGATTTAGGAGACAAGGTTCAATCCTTTGGTCAGGGAAGATCCCCTGGAGAAGGAAATGGGAACCCACTCCAGTCTTCTTGCCTGGGAAATCCCGTGAACAGAGGAGCCTGGCAGGTTACAGTCTATGGGGTTGCCAAGAGTAGGACACGACTTAGCGACTAAACAACAACAACATATGCATATATAATTTACAAAAATTCAAAAGGAACAAAAAGTAGTCAGTGAAAGGGAATCTCCCTTCTGTCCCTGTTTCCCAGCAATCCAGTTTCTCAGGAGTCAAGTTCTTTTAGCACTAAGATGCATATTTTTCCAGGGTTATGCTATGTATATACAGGTAATTCTTTCAAAAATTTTAGTGGCAGCAAACTCTACACAGTATTCTGCCTGTTTTTTTTTTTTTTTTTTAAACTAAACAGTATATTTGTATTTACAGAGATTACATATTCTTTTAAAAAATTATTTATAAAA